GGCCAGGCTTAGAGCTACACGAAGTGTGATGAACACCCTGGTAAGTCAACCATCATTGGACATACTCGTGTCTCTACTGTACTGGTCAGCTTGGAGGGAGTACACATAGAATGTCATGGCTTAACTGGGAAACCTCTTCCCTTGGTAGCTTGACCGCCTGCTGAAGGACAGCACCATTGGCCCTGCTTTCCATGGTTGTGACACAACAGACTTCAGGTATGGGTTCCACCCCAGTGTCCCTTTGCAAGAACCTCTCTCATAAAGGGACCAGTCACACTTGTGTTTGTTCACCCGTTTTATGGGAGCCAGATCTTCTCTCTAATGCACTTCAGCCCCAGGAACTTCTCTGTGATACCCTCTCTCTTAGACAATCTCCTGATTACATGGACTCTCACCTTCCGATGGTGAAGGCCCAACCCTGAGATTAGTGTAAACTCCTTTTAGGCCCTATTCCTCCAGAAAAGACTCAAGCCACTAGCGAGGTTGCAGAGCAGTCTCAACCCACCAGACACACACAGATTTTTGGGAAGGTGGATGTCCCATTCCCATGCAGTGGTGGCCATGGATTGCCAGGTTAAGCTCTGAATGATGAATGTGCAGAGGAGGGTGCTCATGGAGGTCCCTGTGTTTTGCAGGCCGGGCAGTGACAGGGACCAGACGCGGGTGGACGCCGTGTGCACCTACAGCAAGGAGCCCGGGGCTGCGCCTTTGGACAGGGTGGGGCTGTACCACCAAGTGAGCAACAAGACCAGAGGCATCACCCAGCTGGGCCCCTACAGCCTGGACAAGGACAGCCTCTATGTCAACGGTGACAATTCTTTTGGATTTCTTTAATTTTCAAATACTTCATTTTCTATACCTAAATTATTTGCTATCTTTCCATATTCATTCACTAAGTTTTTTTTTTTTTGGAGTATTTTTTGTTCTTTCAGTCAGTTGTATCTCTCATTCTTTTTGCTGAGTTTCTAATATTCTCTACATACATTTATAGTTTCTCATACACTCTAAATACCTTTATAATTTTACCTCCTTCTATGTATTTTTTAATATAGTAAAATTAACCTTTTTCAAGTATACTTTCTCTGTTACACTAATTTTAAATATTCTATTTACGAACATCTTGGAAAAAATAGTGATTGACCTCTCAATGTCAAGGAACAGCACTACAACTTATCACTACTTGACAAAATTATGCATAAATTTTCTATGTAGAAGTTAAATGATTCCTTGGCCATGACAGTGCTGTTGGAACATGATGATCTTTAAGTTCCCTTCCACCCCAAATGATTCTGTGATTCTAAACTGGATTTATGGAATCGGTAAATTCCCTCTAAATATCCCTTGTAAAGGGAGAATTCTGTGCACTGCTAAGAAAAGCAGCACCTTGCCAACAGGGTAATTTGCATTTATGCCTGGACAGTCACCAGATCAATCTTTCCTCGGAAATGTTTACACATGAACTCTCAGACATGTTCTGTATTCTAGTGTGTGCCAAACCTTCCCAACTGTAAGGCACTTCCTGAAATCCTGTCCCTCTTCTTCCCCCCACAGGTCATCATGAAGTGCAGCCTGAACTATGTAAGTACTGTTAAAGAGAAACTGAGGGGCTGGAAGGTTTTGCTAATTAGCAACAGCCAGAACAGCAAGTTGGATTAATCAAGCAAGAGCACTGCTGGTTTATAAAACAGTGCTAAGAGAATTTGTGAGCCACAGCTTATATAGCCTTGAAGCCACCTAGAATATCTGGGAATTCTACTTAGAGTGTTTCCTCTTGGGATGTTAAACATAAATTATATTTTCAAGCAATATCTTTCCCTTCTCATTACAGCTGCTGATCAAAGCACCCAAGCTCTGGCACCAGCAGTAAAGAACTTCACCCTGAACTTCACAATAACCAACCTCCAGTTCACTGCAGACATGCAGAAACCCAGTTCCAGGAGATTCAAGTCCACAGAAAAAGTCATGTATCACTATGTGAGTCTTGCAAACAATGCCCTGATGGGGCACAGTTCTCACAGCATCTCTTATCTCTTACCTTCACTGGGACATTTTTCTTACTTCCATGCTGTTATTCCATTTCCAGGTTGATTCTTTACTCCAAAGGAGCAGCATTGGCCCAGCTTACATCGGCTGCAAAGTAATGGCATTCAGGTAAGAGCACGTCAGGGAAAAGTCCCTATTCCCTGCTTCTTAAAATTTCCATTTCACAGCATCTAACTCATCTCCGGGTATTTTCTTATGTGGTAGCAATGTCTGAGGGATTTTTCTGATCCCTCTCTTTGTATACTAGAAGTTAAGATAGATTTCTCAATAACTAAACCCATGCCTCATTTCCTAGGTCCACGAAGAACAGGGATGACACAGGAGTAGATGCCATGTGCAGCTGTAGGGATGAGCCTTCAGATCCCAAATTCAACAGCACAGCTGTTTACCATGAGCTGAGCAAAATGACCAATGGCATCACCAAGCTGGGACCTTACAGCCTCAACAGCCAGAGCCTCTATGTCAATGGTAATGAGACATTCTCAAGGCATTTTTCCTTATGATATTTGAATTCCCTGTTCCTGGAGGTGTTTAAGGCCGTGTGGGATGGAGCTCTGAGCATCCTGGTCTAGTTAAAGTTGTTCCTGTCCAGGGCAGAGAGGTGGAACTGGATGGTGTTAAAGGTCCTTTATGTCTCAAACCATTCTGGGGTTCTGTGTTGGAATTATTAAACCATTATGGTTGGAGAAGATATCTGAGATCAACTCCAACAGTCAATGTTGACCCAGACTAATTTGAAATCAGAATGAAGAAGATTTAATTTACTTCTCAAAACAGAGAATAAAAATTAAAGGGCAAAACCCTGTCAGTCACCAAGTTAAAAGTCTTGAATTCAGGAACCACAATCTTGTAATAAAATCCTGTGTATTTAGTCCTGCTGAGACTTTCTTGGAATATTTTCCTAATAATTTTCCATTTGTTTTTCAGGTTACAATGAACCTCCTTACAGTCCATCCTGTAAGTATATTTAAAACCAAACACAGGTTAAGGCTGCTTAAAGGCATAAATGGATTTTCTTTCCTGCTGATTTGGCAATGTTTGTAACATTGCAAAATGTCTGAAGGGTGGGATCATGTTCACATGGGTTTTTTCTCTAAGAAACCCAATAACAGCAATGTCTTATTAAGATCCTGTCCTTATTTTATAATTGTCATTTCTGTTCTCTTTTGCAGCATTAAAATTGACCACCACACAAAGCCCAGGAGCAGTCACAGAGCACTTCACCCTGAACTTCACCATAACCAACCTCATGTTCACCACAGACCTGCAGACACCAAATTCCCGCAAGTTTCGGTCCGCTGAGAAAATCGTGAAACACTATGTGAGCCAAAATTCTGTTGTTTTTCACTGAAATCACCCAGGATTTTGGGGTTCCTGTATTCACAAAGACTTTTCCTTGCCAGACTGACTCTCTGCTTCAGAAGAGCAGCATTGGCCCCCATTTCACTGGCTGCAAAGTGACGGGATTCAGGTGAGCAACAACGACAGAGATTCACTTGGAACTGCAGCAAATTAATTTCCTTAGATTTAACTGACACTTTAATAACTGTTCTCCTTTTTCAAGTAGTTGCTTTCATTATAATAAAGCTTCTAAGCCACTTTGTATGGTCTTTATCTTACAAAGCCTTTTTCTTTGTAAGGCCTTGTCTTGGTGACTTCTGCATCTTCTCTGAGAACTGTGGGCAGATTTATCTGGAGGGTTTTTAATCACATTGAAACAAACAAACGCACCCAAAATATTTTAATAACTAACAAAATGATATTAAATTCCTCAGGCCTGGGAAGAACAGGGATAGCACAGGAGTGGACAACCTCTGCAGCTATGGAAAGGGCTCCCAGGTGCCCAAATTTAACCCAGCTGAGGTTTACCAAGAGCTGAAGGGAATGACAAGTGGCATCACCAAGTTGGGAATCTACAGCCTGGACAACAAGAGCCTCTATGTCAATGGTGAGTGTTTGATTTTCCCACTCCTCCAGGCACTGGAGCAGTTTGGGACCACCTTAGCTCTCAGGAATCACCTCCATGTTAAAAAAAAAAAACAACTCAAGGAGAAGGTTGAGAGTTTTCTGCATAATTCCTCTGTGTAAGATTTAAAATCTTTCCACGTCGAAATTTTTGAAGATTTTAATTTTTCTATTACATTGAAGAGTGAACTGAATTTTAGTCTTGACCTCAGTCATTCACCTGCCTGTGAACATTTCACCTTATTCCTGTCCTACAGTGTTTAATTAAACGTTGGCACACACATTTTCTCATTATAGCCCTGCTCTTCCAAAGCACCTTGTTCTGCCTAAGCTTTGTTTATTTAATACATTCACACCCTTGGGGCCTGGTTCTGATGATTCATTCCCAAGTCATCCTTTTAATCACTTCCTCTCCACTTCCATTCCCCAAAGTAGATGCTCTCTTACATGACTCTTTCTCTTGCATTTCCTTTCCAGGTTACAACGAACCCCATGAGAGATCCCGTGAGTATTTTGCCAAATTCATTTTGCCACATTCATTTTGCCAAATTCATTTCAAGGGAAGCTCTCACAGGAGAAATGCCCTGAGAAAATCAGAGGGCAAATTATCTAAATAATAAAAGTTATATTATATTATATTATATTATATTATATTATATTATATTATATTATATTATATTATATTATATTATATTATTATTATTATTATATTATATTATTATTATATTATATATCATATCATATAATATATAATAAAAAGTAGCCTTGAGGTTTGCTGGGATTAGGAATGTTTTGAAAATGAAAACAGGTTTTTTTTTAGGAAGTTCCTAATCCTTCTCCCCTCTGATTACAGCCCGGAGCACTACAGCTGCACCAAAACCAACATCCAGGAATTTCACTCTGAACTTCACCTTGACCAACCTCCGCTACTCTGCAGATCTGGAAACCCCAAATTCCCGCAGATTCCTTTCCACAGTGAGAGTGATGAACCACTATGTGAGTCTGGCTCTGCTTGTGCCCCTTTTGGGTCTTGCTGGTGACCTAAATCCACCTGCTTTAAACTCAGCATGTGAGTCCCAGCTCTCAATTGTAATTTTTTTTTTTTTGACAGCTTGACCCTCTTTTCAAGAGGAGCAGCATAAGCTCTGCCTACACAGGATGTAAAGCCATGAGATTCAGGTAAGATTTGGAATTCCAGATTCACAGGATGGGTCAGGTTTGATGGGTCACCTGGTCCCACCTCCCTGCTCCAGCAGGGTCATCCCACAGAGCACATGGATTGTGTCCAGATGGCTCTGGAATATCTCCAGTGAGGAGATTCCACAACTTTTCTGGACAATCTGTCCCAGTGCCCGGTCACTGCACAAGGAAGTTCTTCCTCATGCTCATCAACTTCCTGGGCATCAATTCCTGCCTTGTTCCTGCCTTGCTCCTCAGGGCCAAAGAGCAGACCCTGGTCCCTGCTCTGAGTGAGCCCTGCAGACACTAAAAATATCTGAGAGGATACTAAAAGTGTCTGAAATACTAAAACACCTAAATATAAACCACCTAAAATACTCCTGAAATTGCAATGAACCATTTCTTTACCCACTCTCACACACCTTCAATTTGTGGCTGTTCTGAGGAAAGAGCAGCCAGTGACACCTCCCTGTCCAGCCTGGATTTTATTTTAGCTGGTAAAATCGTTTTGGTATCTAAATACCATCACCTCAATTCTGGAGAGCCTGGTGAAGGATGCAGGAGCCCGTTGGCACCGAGGGTTTGGTGTCTGCCCTAAAAACCCCTCAGGAGGTTCGGCCAGCAGAGCAGTGTCCCCAAAGAACGTGTGTGACATTTGTCCCCAGGTCTGGAAGGCACAGGGATGACACAAGAGTGGATGCTGTCTGCAGCTACAAGAACAATGCCAGCCTGGCCAGGTTTGACAGAGAAAAGCTTTACCAGGAGCTGAGCACCATGACAAACAATGTCACCAAACTGGGCCACTACAGCCTGGACAGGAGCAGCCTGTATGTTGATGGTAAGCATCCATGAGGATAAGAGGATTTTGGGATCTCCTGGAGATCATTCCTCATCCCTGGGGCCTGAGCACTGATGAACCCTTTGGTTTATTTTATTTAAGTTTGACAAAACCAATCCTACAGGATATTGTCATGCTGGCAGCATTTCCATTCCTTAAATCAGACAAATTCCTGGTGAATTTCACTGTTACAATATATGATCTAAGCAGGGATATATCTCATTGCTATTATGATATGAACAGATGTAAAAATAAATTAACTGTACCCTTTTTATTTAGATTTCACCCTCACAGACACAGCTGCCACCAAAAAGCCTCTCATGGCTCCAGCCAAACTTGGCTATAGGCTGAGCTTTAGAATAGTCAATGAAAACCTCACCAACCCTGACTCCCAGTCTCCAGAATACAGAGCAGCAGTAGAAAGCATCACCAACAAGGTAAGGAGGATTTGAGAATATGTCTGGCTGGTCAGTTTTTGAAGCAACTACCAAAGATTTACATCTGAATTAAAAAAAAATAAAAAATCATCATTTTGGAAGCAAAATTTCAAGAATCTGAAACATAAGATTGGCCTTTTTCAGTTTTGGTTTTAAGTTGTAGCTGTGGGTGTGATCCCTGCCCATGGCAGGGGACTGGGACTGAAGGATCTTTAAGGTCCTTTCCAACCCAAACCGTTCAATGATTCCATGTGGTCTTATGAAATTCTCCCCAGCCAAAGACATGGACTGCAAAATGCCAGAACTGATCAGTTAAATGAACACACCCCCAGCATTTCACTCCCAGCTCCAGAAAGTGCATCCAAGGCCAATCCCTGCTGGCAAATCCTGCTCAGCACATCCATGATTCATTCTAGAATCCAACATTTTCTCTTCAGCACCAATCCAATTTATCAACCTGAAAAGGCCCTGATTGGGTGGGTTTTGCTCTTTTTGAGCTCAGGACACTGCTCTCCCATACTGGCATCCTGGAAGGAATTTCAGGAAGGAAACATTCCTAAGGCAGGAATGTTTGCCTGGCTGGAATTCAGACCCCACCACCAGAAGGTGCCTATTCCAAAGTAAAATCCAACCCCCATGAAATTCAACTAGCAAAAAATAACCCAGAGCTCAAATCTCTCTTGCTGACCCGAAGCCTCCAGCACTGTGCCCAAACTCATTTATATTTAATGGGATATTTTAATTTCAGATGAACCACTTGTACCGTCAGAGCGACCTGAGGGAGCAGTTCCTGACCTGCAGGATCACCGGGCTGAGGTCTGGCGTAAAATCTGATTTTTGTTTAACGATTGCTTCACCCTGGCACTGATCCCCCATGGCTGAGTGCCAGTGGCCCCACTGGAATTCCTCCCTTTCATTCTCCTATTGGAAACTGGAGGCATTTCCAGGCTTCCCAGGATTTGTCAGTTTGAATTTTTTTGGACAAGGGTTTCTCAATCAGGGTTTCTGTAAGGCACTCTCAGGTCTCTGAGTATCTCAGGAATTACAGATCCCATCCCTTTACTGTGACCTCTGCACTCCTCTCAACCTGAACTCCACTAGATTTTAAAAGTAAGCTGTGGTGTCCTGCTCAGGATGGAATGAGGCTTGGATAAGGGACTCTCCCACAAAATGAAAGCTTTAAAAAACCTAAAAGTGCTTCTTTTTTCTTGCATTCATACAAAACAACCTAAATTTGTCTGGAGAAGAGGTAAAATTTTTTTAATTCTTGTTGCCATCCAAAGGAAAAGTCCCAACCAGCCCATTCCACCACTGTCGCAGACATCTTTTTATGAAAATCCTTTCTTTAGGATTTTTTCCTCCTGAGAAGCTGAGAGGCCTCAGGAACAAAATGTAAACAATGGTTATCTGCTGTGGAATGCAACAGGTGCATCTGTGATTGGTCTCATGTGGTTGTTTGGAATTAATGGCCAATCACAGCCCAGCTGGCTTGGACACAATGTCCGAGCCACAAACCTTTGGTATCATTCTTTCTATTCTATTCTTAGCTAGCCTTCTGAGAACCTTTTCTTCTATTCATTTAGTATAGTTTAATGTAATATATATCATAAAATAATAAATCAAGCCTTCTGAAATATAGAGTCAAATCCTCATCTCTTCCCTCATCCAAAGACCCCTGTGAACACCGTCACACACCACGTTACTTTAAACCACTCAGCCTTGAGAACAGCAGGAACCCTTCAGGAAAATCCTTCCCACAAGGAGCTCCCTGCCCATCCTATTTATCTCTGTCCCTCTGCCCACAGGCCTGGATCAATAGTGGTGGACTGCCAGTGCTTCTTCCAGCCCGACCCCAAAATCAGCAGGGCTGTGGTTGAAAGGACTTTCCAGGACAGGACCTCCAACACCACGGGGCTGTGGCTGGGCAGCAGCTACCGACTGCAGGAATTCTCAGTGGACAGTACGTGGAGAAAATCCCTTCCCATGGACAGCTTGCTTTGCCATAGCACATTCAGAACCTCCCAAATTCTGCTCTGTCAGAGCAAACCTAAATCTGTTATTAAGCTGGATCACTGGGCTTTGAGTTAGTCAGATATTCAGTCCTCTAGTCATCGATGGCTTGAGGGGTTATTCAATATATTAAGATGTTCTTCAATATTAAGGTGTTGTTCAAAATTAAATTGTCATTCAAAATTAAGGTGTTTTAAGTAAAAATCAGAAAAATCAGTAAAAGTAAAAATTAAAAAATCAGAAAATTCAATGTGAACTGCTCACCACAACTTCAACCACCTAGGGCTAAACAGACTTCCAGCTTTTTTTCCCAGTGTTCAGCATTCTGAAAAAATTACTGGCCTGGAATATTTGGAGTTTCCTGTCAGACCCCAGTGAAACTCAAGTTCTGCCAATCTAAGACTTAGAGCTAAAAAGCAGCAGCTCAGTGCTGCTTGGTAGGAAAGCCTCTGTTTCTCTCTGCTAGAATTTAATTTTCCTCTCCATTCCCAGCCTTGGAACTCTCAGTTGAGGCAGCAACTCACAAGACACCCCTGGAGTCTGGCAGAGAAAAATTCGGATTAAATTTCCGAATCACCAACCTTCCCTACTCGCCTGAGCTGCAGGACTCCAGCTCCCAGATGTACCGAGAGAACAAAGAGAAGATTGAGAAAGAGGTGAAATGGGCAGCAATAGCTTAAGCTCCCTGTCCAAAGGATGTGTTAAATTAACTCAGCTTTTCTCAACTGTTTTGTTTCTCCCCACCAGCTCGAGGTGTTCAGGAGCAGCCGTCTGAAGGATCAATTTGTTGGCTGCACTGTGGAGAGCTTTGGGTATGTCCAGTGCTTTTTGAAGCCCCAAAAGAGCAGCTCAGGAAGAATTTAGGGTGTCTACCCCTCCCTGCCAGCCTCTGTGCCCCCAGTGACACGGGGAAGTCACTCCTTTCTCCCTCAGTCACTTTTTGCCTTTACCACGAAAGGTTTCTGTCCAAACAGAGCTGGTTTTGTTTCGGTGCTTGCAGAGCTGTTTTCATGCATGAACAACCCCAGGGCAGAGCAAACACCTTCATTCTCTCATTTAACGTGTTCAAATAAGCTCAAATTCCACTGACACACAGCACTGACCACACAACTGACCAGCCTGAGGACAAAACCTGACTGTGTGAGGGTCCTCCAGCTAGGGTGAGGGTCCTCCTCTCTGGAGGAACAAAGCAGCAGAGGAGATTTAAATTTTTGTCGTTCAAAATTAAACTTAACTTTTGGAAATAGAGCTGATTTAACTATTAGAGTTGATTTTCCTCTTAGAAACAGAGCTGATTTACCTCTTAAAAACGCCTTGCTGGGGATTAAATCAGTGGATGGATTTCACCCAGAACAAGCTGCTAAAAGTGATCCCATCCCAATAAAACATCACTGGGACATCTGCAGACCTGAGGCTCCCAATCCCTCTCCCTGCCCTGCTCAGCTCTGTTCCATTTTCTCTCCTCTCTGCTGTCCCCCTCCAGGCCTGTCCATGGCAAAGGACACACAGAGGTTGCCTCAACCTGCACGTTCACCCTGGATCCCCTCTCAGGGACTTTACAGGAGCAGGAGGTGTTTGAGGAGCTGGAACTCCTGACCCAGGGCTTCACCAGGCTGGGCTCCAGCTATGAGCTGGAGGAGCAGAGTCTGGTGGTGGAAGGTGAGAGCTCCTGGAGGGACATTTTGGGGAATTCTTCCTAATTTTGTTTAAATCAGCTTAAATCAGAGTTGCATTCCTCATCTGTCCCACTCCTCATTTCCAGGTTACTCTCCACTCAAGACAGATGAAGCAGAGTCCAAAAGATCTGGTAGGTGTTTTGGGTTTTTTTGGCAAGGATTGACCTGACAGTCACTGAATACTTGAGCTCTAATAAATAATTAAACCCTGATAAATACTTAAGCTGTAATAAATTAGCATCAGATATCTTGGAATGGGACTAAACCCATGGAAAAGACCAAAAATCCAAGGCTTTTGGTAGCAAACAGCAGGTGCCACCAGCCTGAGGGGAATGAAATTGAAGGACAGGCAAAAGCAGCAGTTTGGGAACTGTTTGAAAACTCTGGCACCAATAAATTTTGATAACTGCAGTATTTAAAAAAAAAAGACCAGACCAGATAGGGTTTAGCTTAGCTACAACCCCAGAACAAACAGCAAACAGGAGAGAGAAGAAAAATACCTGAACTGTTCCTTTCCCATGCACCACAAACACTCTGGTAAAACAACCACAGCTTTTGCTGACACCCTGAGCCCTGTCCCCAAAAGAGTCCAGAAGTAGTTAAGGCAGAACTTTGTCACTCTGAACATCCCAGAACTTTGTCACTCTGAACATCCCTTGAATCAGCTGGGGGGCATTCTGCTCCCTGCAGTGGATTTAAGGCTGTGGATCCCTGAACCCTCACTCAATTTCCCCAATTTTCTGTAATTTTCCCTGACCTACAAAGTGAATTTTGCCAGGGTGAGCTGAGATCTCCCTCTCACAATCCCGCATGGAAGAGTCTCTAAACCTGACATGCTCCTTTTTTTTTTTTCCCCCCTTTTCAGAGCTTCAGTTCTGGGCCATCATCCTCATCTGCCTTTTCACCCTGCTGGGCTTCATCCTCCTCCTCCTGTTGTGCTTCCTGGTGAGTGTCCCCTTTGCTGTCCCCACCTGTCCCTTGTCTCCTGCAGAGCCACAGGGGGGACATCAGACCCATTCCCAATGATCCCAGTGCCTGGAAACAGCAAAAACCACCCCAAATCCTTCACTCCCTCCAGCTCTTACAAGCACTGGGGATGGGGAAGGGAATTTAGACTCAGCTGAGTGGATTTATAGCAAAAGAAGCAGAATTTTCCTTCTAGAAAAGCAGCAGGGTCGTGGCTGGCACTGGGGTTTTTGCAGAGGGAAAAACACAAACCCAAAGGTGAGGCCAACACCAAGAGGAGGAGCAGGAATTGGGGAATCCACAGGTGGAAACAGGGAATCCTCTGCAGCACTTCCTAAACCTCTTCCCTGTCCAAACACCTGCAGGATGGGCAGGTTCCAAACCCAACATTTTTCCCCATTAATTTTT